CACCTCATATAGATAGAAAAGAGAAATAATATTTTTCCTTGTGATGAGAACTCTTAGGATTTATTCTTAACAACTTTCATATACAACATAGCAGTCTTAATTACATTAATCATGTTGCACATTACATTCCTGTACTTATTTCTCCTCTAACTAGAAGTATGTACCCTTTGACCTCCTTTGACCAACACCCTCCCGACCTCTGGTAACCACGAATCTTATCTCTTTTTCTATAAGTTTGTTTATTTGTCTTTTGAAATATACTTGGCCGACAACACTGTTTGTCTCTGGTGCACAACATAGTGATTAGACATTTCTGTACATTACAAAATCATCACAGCCCTAGTTACCATCTGTCATCCTACAGAAATATTATATTACTATTGACTATATTCTCCAGACTGTACATTTCATCCCTTTGACTCTTTATTTTGCAACTGGAAGTTTGTACAACTTAATCTCCCACACCTATTTCACTCATTCCCTGACCCCCCCCCTCCCCTCTATCAAATTACTTTTTGACATCTAACTATATCATTGATGCAATGGATATGAATTTGAGCAAGCTCTGGTAGGTGGTAAAGGATAGGAAAGCCTGGCATGCTGCAGTCCTTGGTGTCACAAAGACCTGGACAGAGCTGACCGACTTAACAACAACAACTACTACTACATCATCAGCAATCATATTACTCTCCTATGACATTATTAGGAGCCTTCCAACCATAATCTTATAGTTTTCAAATGAAATACATTGTTTTAAAGATATAAAAATCCTAAGGCACATCTAGCTTCAGGTACTTCTCAATTTTTTTTTCTCTCAAGTACCTCGTTCTTTCTCCATCTTTGTTTTCCTCTGTCTCTTAATGTCAATTTTCCTCATTCTTGGGATAAAACATAGCCACAAGCATCTTTTGGTTCATATCTCACCAGCTTAGTAACCCCAGTGGAAAAGAATTTCTCATTTTCAGTAGTCCTAGCTAATATTTCAGGTTTACCTCTTAAATGGACTTTTGTTCACATGCTCATGTTTTGACCAATTACCATAGCCAATTTGAGATATGCTGATTGGACATGGCTGTATCATATGTCCTTTCCTTTAGCCACGGTAGGGAATTCGGCTAAACTTAAACTAACTGGACTAAGACTGTAGAATGAGTTTTTCCACCATGAAAACCAGGATGCTATCAGCACAAGTATGTTACAGGGACACTAAGCAGGCAAAAATAAAATCCACTGCTTGTTCTCAAAATATACCAAAACATCTTAACCAGTATCCTATTTCTTACATTCAAAAAACTCAAAACTCAATTTATAGTTTGTGCCAGTTACTTTTTCTGAGATTAATTTCGTGTTTCCACCCCTACCCCAAAATTGTGGCCACAGTTGCCCAAATAAGCCAAGGTCTTTCAAGTCTACTTTTTCTGACAGAGCTTTTCTCTACCAACACATAACTGCCATTTTCCATCTATAGAAACTAATAACTATATTTAAAGATTCAGATTTAAATATAATACCTCTGTGAAACATTTCCCAACTCCCATTAAATCATTGTTGCATAATTCTCTGTACATACACAATAAAACATAAATAAATCTATTCTAAAATATTGTGTATTTTCATAGTTTCTAGATGGTGTTTTCCTCGATTTCTTTGCATTGTTCACTGAGGAAGGCTTTCTTATCTCTCCTGGCTATTCTTTGGAACTCTGCATTCAAATGGGAATATCTTTCCTTTTCTCCTTTGCTTTTCACTTCTCTTCTTTTCACAGCTCTTTGTAAGGCCTCCTCAGACAACCATTTTGCCTTTTTGCATTTCTTTTCCATGGGGATGGTCTTGATCCCTGTCTCCTGTACAATGTCACAAACCTCTGTCCACAGTTCATCAGGCTCTCTGTCTATCAGATCTAGTCCCTTAAATCTATTCCTCACTTCCACTGTATAGTCTTAAGGGATTTGATTTAGGTCATACCTGAATGGTCTAGTGGTTTTCCCTACTTTCTTCAGTTTAAGTCTGAATTTGGCATGAAGAGTTCATGATCTGAGCCACAGTCAGCTCCTGGTCTTGTTTTTGCTGACTGTAGCTTCTCCATCTTTGGCTGCAAAGAATATAATCAATCTGATTTCGGTGTTGACCATCTGGTGATGTCCATGTGTACAGTCTTCTCTTGTGTTGTTGGAAGAGGGTGTTTCCTATGACCAGTGTGTTCTCTTGGCAAAACTCTATTAGCCTTTGCCCTGCTTCATTCCGTACTCCAAGGCCAAATTTGCCTGTTACTCCAGGTGTTTCTTGACTTCCTACTTTTGCATTTCAGTCCCCTAAAATGAAAAGGACATCTTTTTTCGGTATTAGTTCTAAAAGGTCTTGTAGGTCTTCATAGAACCGTTCAACTTCAGCTTCTTCAGTGTTACTGGTTGGGGCATAGACTTGGATTACCGTGATATTGAATGGTTTGCTTGGAAACGAACAGAGATCATTCTGTCGTTTTTGAGACTGCATCCAAATACTGCATTTCAGACTCTTTTGTTGACCATGATGGCTACTCCATTTCTTCTATGAGATTCCTGCCCACAGTAGTAGATATAATGGTCATTTGAGTTAAATTCACCCATTCCAGTCCATTTTAGTTCACTGAGTCCTAGAATGTCAACATTCACTCTTGCCATCTCCTGTTTGACCACTTCCAATTTGCCTTGATTCATGGACCTAACATTACAGGTTCCTATGCAGTATTGCTATTTACAGCATCGCACCTTGCTTCTATCACCAGTCACATCCATAACTGGGTATTGTTTTTGCTTTGGCTCCATCCCTTCATTCTTTCTGGAGTTATTTCTCCACTGATCTCCAGGAGCATATTGGGCACCTACTGACCTGTGGAGTTCCTCTTTCAGTATCCTATCATTTTGCCTTCTCATGCTGTTCATGGGGTTCTCACATGACCAACCTAGATAACACATTAAAAAGCAGAGACATTACTTTGCCAACAAAGGTCCGTCTGGTCAAGGCTATGGTTTCTCCAGTGGTCATGTATGGATGTGAGAGTTGGACTGTGAAGAAAGCTGAGCACCGAAAAATTGATGCTTTTGAACTGTGGTATTGGAGAAGACTCTTGAGAGTCCCTTGGACTGCAAGGAGATCCAACCAGTCCATCTTAAAGGAGATCAGTCCTGGGTGTTCTTTGGAAGGACTGATGCTGAAGCTAAAACTCCAGTACTTTGGCTACCTCATGCGAAGAACTGACGCATTGGAAAAGACCCTGAACCTGGGAGGGATTGGGGGCAGGAGGAGAAGGGGACGGCAGAGGATGAGATGGCTGGATGGCATCACCGACTCAATAGGCATGAGTTTGAGTAGACTCCTGGAGTTGGTGATGGACAGGGAGGCCTGGTGTGCTGCAATTCACGGGGTCGCAAAGAGTTGGATATGACTGAGTGACTGAACTGAACTGAGATGGTGTTTGCCTCACCTGGTGTGAATCACTTGGGAATACAAACTGCTTCAACAATTGACATATCTCTAGGGCTAAGACAATAACTGACCCAGTTTATGTTGGATGGATTAATTATTAAATAAGTCAAATTAAATAATCTCGAATTCAGTAGCCAAACCTTGTCTTTACATGAATAATTTGAATGAAAAATTCTCAAACAAGTGTTAAGTGGGGCTTGCAGTATTAACGAGTCCAGAAATTCTTAGAGGTCTCCTTCAGGTTGCATAACAAATAAGCATTCATTTATTATCACCAGTACATAAAGACATCCGAGTTGCACTAAGACACATGGGACAAAATCAGTAAAGTTGGTACTCATTAGCATAGGCAAAATAAATATTATGTATCCATTTTTTAAAGTTCCTGTGATAGTCTGACTAGTTTTGTTTGCAAGAGACACAAGGACAAAAATGAAATCGAATGCTTTTGCGGAGAAGAAATTCCCTGGATGAGCAGAAAAGCCTGCAAAAGTTTTGTGTTTTCTGTTCGTTTGAAACAGGATTGAGGGGTCTTATAATCAAGATGAAGCCATTAAGAGTTAAAAGGGAAAGGACACATTGAAGAGAGTCAACTAAGACCCTGGTGAATTATCAAAAACTCTGAACTACTTTCTTAGTGAGAGTCTAAGGTCTGAGCAATTCATGAGGAGAAAAGGCAGCGGTCCCGCAGCACCTGGAAATGAGGAATGCTACATTTAAGGAGACTGACTTGGGCGTGGCATTTTGAAGCCGGTGTCGTGTAAAATGTAGCGAATGAAAATGCCCTCTGGGAGAAGGCGAGGGTGGGATGTTTCAAGAGAACAGCATTGAAACACGTATATTTTCTAGGGTGAAACAGTTCACCAGCCCAGGTTGGGTGCATGAGACAAGTGCTCGGGCCTGGTGCACTGGGAAGACCCAGAGGGATTGGGTGGAGAGGGAGGTGGGAGGGGGGACCGGGATGGGGAATACATGTAAAAAAAAAAAAAAAAAAGATACACTATGGTTGTGATAAAAAAAAATCAATTAATTAATTAATTTAAAAAAAATAAAAATAATAAAAGTCAAAAAAAAAAAAAAGAAAGAAAATGCCTTCTGAAAGCCTGAGAACAGGCTGCGGCGGGGCGGGGGGCGGGGGTGCGGGGGAAGAGTTGAAGGATGGCTCTTGGTACGTCATCAAGCGTCATCAAGCGTCATCAGAGGGTAAACCCTCAGAAATACCGGCTGCTTTTGAATGAAATGAAACCCAACCTGAATCGAGCCCCTACTCAGTTCCTTAAGGAAGACAATGGTTGCCTAGGCAACACCTAAGCAAGTTAGGATGTAGAGGCTGATCTCAACTACTGCCTCACCAGAGAGTACAGAGCTGAGGTGCCATAGCGGAGTAGCGGAGCTGCGGGGAACTTAGGCTGACGGTCTGACCGAGTGTGTTCCGGTCACTCCGGGGTGGAAGCATACACTAAATACAATTTGACTGGGGTTTTAGCATTTCAGCACTATGTCATGAAATTCACATAATTTTACACTTCTTCGAGATGGAAAGCTCAGATGCTGACGATGAAGAAGACAGAGTTTCGGTCCGACGCAGAGATCAGATAGACCGAAAGGCTCGAGAAGATGATTGCTACAGACTCGTAAGTGATCTGAGTGAAGGAGATTACATACTTATGAGGGACAACAATTTGCTTGGCCCCCTAGGTGAAAGTACAGAAGAAGAGTTGATGAGGAGACGTCAATTAATGAAAGAAAACCCACTACAAAACTCAGAGGAAAATCCAGGTATATTTCTCTTTGGAGGGAATAGGATGGGATGAAAAAGGAACTTCATAGTATTAAATAATCACTTCACAATAGTAAATAGTAAATTATAAAGAAGTGGCATAAATTATTAGGTAAGGAACTTCTCATAAAAAAGAACTGACATTGACTTGGTTTGCAGTGAGAATGCCAGGGTAGGTTCTTTTTTTCCTGATTCACATTTGGGTTGTTTTAACTGGGAAGCAGTGTGAGGTAGACTATTGGTTTCTGTTTGGTTTTTGGTTTTGTACCTCAATGGAATGTTCCTCCTATGTCCCGAATTATTTTCTCTATGTCCCGATTTATTTTCTCTATCTATGAAAGTGAAAGTCACTCAGTCGTGTCAGACTCTTTGAAATGCCATGGACTATAGAGTCCATGGAAATATCCAAGTCAGAATACTAGAATGGAGGGGATCTTCCCAACCCAGGGATGTATCCCAGGTCTCCCATTTTCTAGGTGGATTCTTTATCAGCTGAGCCACAAGGGAAGCCCAAGAATACTGAAGTGGGTAGACTATCTCTTCTCCAGCAGATCTTCCCGACCCAGGAATCCAACTGGGGTCTCCTGCATTGCAGGCAGATTATTTACCAACTGAGTTATGAGGGAAGCCCTCTCTATCTATATAGATGTGGTTAAAAAAAAATAGCAAAAAGAAATATTTTATATTCTAACCAAATAGTTCTCAACTGGGGACAGTTTTGCTCTCCCCCACCCTAGAGACATTTGACAACAGCTGGAGATATTTTTGGTTGTCACAGAGGGAGGCATGGGTGTTACTAGATCTAGTGGGCAGAGGCCAGGGATGCTGCCAAATACGACACAATGCACAGGGTAGCTCCCCAAAATAAGAATTGCCCAGTGCCAAAATGTAAATAGTGCTAAGGCTGAGAAACCCTGCTGGAACCTCAGATCTGGTGCCTTCTCTCCCAGTGTGAAATAGAGGATTTTACTATCTAATGAAGAGGATACTATCACTTTGGTTCTTGAATATGGTCTTATATGTGCCATGCTAGGTTCAGTCTATTCATTTGATCTGACTTTCAGCTTAATGCCAATTAAAAACCTTGGTAATATTAAGAAGTATTCAAAATTCATATACTTTTAAACCTATAACCTTTGTTTATATTTGGGCAGTAATCTTATATTGTAAAACAACTTATACATTATCAAAAGCATATAAGAGCCTAGGAGTAGTGATGTTGGAGACTAATGAGAAATAGACAATAATATCAATGGAATTAAAATACTAGCACTGTATGTTAACTGGTGTTTACCTTGTAGAATTGCTTCTTTATCAGCTGAGCCACAAGGGAAGCCCAAGAATACTGAAGTGGGTAGACTATCTCTTCTCCAGCAGATCTTCCTGACCCAGGAATCCAACTGGGGTCTCCTGCATTGCAGGCAGATTATTTACCAACTGAGTTATGAGGGAAGCCCTCTCTATCTATATAGATGTGGTTAAAAAAAAATAGCAAAAAGAAATATTTTATATTCTAACCAAATAGTTCTCAACTGGGGACAGTTTTGCTCTCCCCCACCCTAGAGACATTTGACAACAGCTGGAGATATTTTTGGTTGTCACAGAGGGAGGCATGGGTGTTACTAGATCTAGTGGGCAGAGGCCAGGGATGCTGCCAAATACGACACAATGCACAGGGTAGCTCCCCAAAATAAGAATTGCCCAGTGCCAAAATGTAAATAGTGCTAAGGCTGAGAAACCCTGCTGGAACCTCAGATCTGGTGCCTTCTCTCCCAGTGTGAAATAGAGGATTTTACTATCTAATGAAGAGGATACTATCACTTTGGTTCTTGAATATGGTCTTATATGTGCCATGCTAGGTTCAGTCTATTCATTTGATCTGACTTTCAGCTTAATGCCAATTAAAAACCTTGGTAATATTAAGAAGTATTCAAAATTCATATACTTTTAAACCTATAACCTTTGTTTATATTTGGGCAGTAATCTTATATTGTAAAACAACTTATACATTATCAAAAGCATATAAGAGCCTAGGAGTAGTGATGTTGGAGACTAATGAGAAATAGACAATAATATCAATGGAATTAAAATACTAGCACTGTATGTTAACTGGTGTTTACCTTGTAGAATTGCTTCTTTATCAGCTGAGCCACAAGGGAAGCCCAAGAATACTGAAGTGGGTAGACTATCTCTTCTCCAGCAGATCTTCCTGACCCAGGAATCCAACTGGGGTCTCCTGCATTGCAGGCAGATTATTTACCAACTGAGTTATGAGGGAAGCCCTCTCTATCTATATAGATGTGGTTAAAAAAAAATAGCAAAAAGAAATATTTTATATTCTAACCAAATAGTTCTCAACTGGGGACAGTTTTGCTCTCCCCCACCCTAGAGACATTTGACAACAGCTGGAGATATTTTTGGTTGTCACAGAGGGAGGCATGGGTGTTACTAGATCTAGTGGGCAGAGGCCAGGGATGCTGCCAAATACGACACAATGCACAGGGTAGCTCCCCAAAATAAGAATTGCCCAGTGCCAAAATGTAAATAGTGCTAAGGCTGAGAAACCCTGCTGGAACCTCAGATCTGGTGCCTTCTCTCCCAGTGTGAAATAGAGGATTTTACTATCTAATGAAGAGGATACTATCACTTTGGTTCTTGAATATGGTCTTATATGTGCCATGCTAGGTTCAGTCTATTCATTTGATCTGACTTTCAGCTTAATGCCAATTAAAAACCTTGGTAATATTAAGAAGTATTCAAAATTCATATACTTTTAAACCTATAACCTTTGTTTATATTTGGGCAGTAATCTTATATTGTAAAACAACTTATACATTATCAAAAGCATATAAGAGCCTAGGAGTAGTGATGTTGGAGACTAATGAGAAATAGACAATAATATCAATGGAATTAAAATACTAGCACTGTATGTTAACTGGTGTTTACCTTGTAGAATTGCTTCTTTATCAGCTGAGCCACAAGGGAAGCCCAAGAATACTGAAGTGGGTAGACTATCTCTTCTCCAGCAGATCTTCCTGACCCAGGAATCCAACTGGGGTCTCCTGCATTGCAGGCAGATTATTTACCAACTGAGTTATGAGGGAAGCCCTCTCTATCTATATAGATGTGGTTAAAAAAAAATAGCAAAAAGAAATATTTTATATTCTAACCAAATAGTTCTCAACTGGGGACAGTTTTGCTCTCCCCCACCCTAGAGACATTTGACAACAGCTGGAGATATTTTTGGTTGTCACAGAGGGAGGCATGGGTGTTACTAGATCTAGTGGGCAGAGGCCAGGGATGCTGCCAAATACGACACAATGCACAGGGTAGCTCCCCAAAATAAGAATTGCCCAGTGCCAAAATGTAAATAGTGCTAAGGCTGAGAAACCCTGCTGGAACCTCAGATCTGGTGCCTTCTCTCCCAGTGTGAAATAGAGGATTTTACTATCTAATGAAGAGGATACTATCACTTTGGTTCTTGAATATGGTCTTATATGTGCCATGCTAGGTTCAGTCTATTCATTTGATCTGACTTTCAGCTTAATGCCAATTAAAAACCTTGGTAATATTAAGAAGTATTCAAAATTCATATACTTTTAAACCTATAACCTTTGTTTATATTTGGGCAGTAATCTTATATTGTAAAACAACTTATACATTATCAAAAGCATATAAGAGCCTAGGAGTAGTGATGTTGGAGACTAATGAGAAATAGACAATAATATCAATGGAATTAAAATACTAGCACTGTATGTTAACTGGTGTTTACCTTGTAGAATTGCTTCTTTATCAGCTGAGCCACAAGGGAAGCCCAAGAATACTGAAGTGGGTAGACTATCTCTTCTCCAGCAGATCTTCCTGACCCAGGAATCCAACTGGGGTCTCCTGCATTGCAGGCAGATTATTTACCAACTGAGTTATGAGGGAAGCCCTCTCTATCTATATAGATGTGGTTAAAAAAAAATAGCAAAAAGAAATATTTTATATTCTAACCAAATAGTTCTCAACTGGGGACAGTTTTGCTCTCCCCCACCCTAGAGACATTTGACAACAGCTGGAGATATTTTTGGTTGTCACAGAGGGAGGCATGGGTGTTACTAGATCTAGTGGGCAGAGGCCAGGGATGCTGCCAAATACGACACAATGCACAGGGTAGCTCCCCAAAATAAGAATTGCCCAGTGCCAAAATGTAAATAGTGCTAAGGCTGAGAAACCCTGCTGGAACCTCAGGTCTGGTGCCTTCTCTCCCAGTGTGAAATAGAGGATTTTACTATCTAATGAAGAGGATACTATCACTTTGGTTCTTGAATATGGTCTTATATGTGCCATGCTAGGTTCAGTCTATTCATTTGATCTGACTTTCAGCTTAATGCCAATTAAAAACCTTGGTAATATTAAGAAGTATTCAAAATTCATATACTTTTAAACCTATAACCTTTGTTTATATTTGGGCAGTAATCTTATATTGTAAAACAACTTATACATTATCAAAAGCATATAAGAGCCTAGGAGTAGTGATGTTGGAGACTAATGAGAAATAGACAATAATATCAATGGAATTAAAATACTAGCACTGTATGTTAACTGGTGTTTACCTTGTAGAATTGCTTCTTTATCAGCTGAGCCACAAGGGAAGCCCAAGAATACTGAAGTGGGTAGACTATCTCTTCTCCAGCAGATCTTCCTGACCCAGGAATCCAACTGGGGTCTCCTGCATTGCAGGCAGATTATTTACCAACTGAGTTATGAGGGAAGCCCTCTCTATCTATATAGATGTGGTTAAAAAAAAATAGCAAAAAGAAATATTTTATATTCTAACCAAATAGTTCTCAACTGGGGACAGTTTTGCTCTCCCCCACCCTAGAGACATTTGACAACAGCTGGAGATATTTTTGGTTGTCACAGAGGGAGGCATGGGTGTTACTAGATCTAGTGGGCAGAGGCCAGGGATGCTGCCAAATACGACACAATGCACAGGGTAGCTCCCCAAAATAAG